GATTTTTCAAATGTAGCCCTGGGTATTTCATTGTGATTTTCAATAGATACCCTGGGTATTTCATTGTGATGTTCAATTGAAAGCCTGCGCATTTCATTGTGATTTTTCAAATGTAGCCCTGGGTATTTCATTGTGATTTTCAAATGAATCCCTGGGCATTTCATAGTGATTTTTCAATTGAATCCCTGGGCAGTTCATTTCATAGCCTGTGCATTTTATTGTGATTTGTCAAATGTAGCCCTGGGTATTTCATTGTGATTTTTCAATGGATACCCAGCACATGAATGCTTGGCACTTTCAATGGATATTTCTAAAAATAGCTAGAAAATGAGAAGAAAAAATAGAAAAAAAAATAGGAATGGTGTATAGGATGTCAGGTACTGCTTTCAGGGTCCACTGTATGTATCCAAAATTGGATATGACAAAAAAGTATGAGAAATCAAGGAAAGAATGATGATACATATCAGGGTCCATGTAATGGGCTTCCTGGGAGGGTGGTCACATGACCAATTGAAATGGTCAAAAAAGGAAAGTTGTAGCCATGCAATGTATCTTTCAGATCTGTTTGAATTATGTCACAGAGAGCTCCCATTGTGGAGATATGAGGTTAAAGACTTTTCACACTGCCAGCTTTTTTTTTTTTTTTTTTTTGCATTTTTCTCCATGAAAAAGCATCAAACAACATAATTTCAACACATTTAGAAAGCTAAGAGAAGGGGCCATAACTATTGTATTGTGGGAAATTTGACCCAAAAAGGAAGGTTCATACCCTAAAAGGGAAACCTACATTGAGAGACTACAAAAGATTACAGATTGACTACAAAGTTTACTAATAGACTACAAAAAATGAAAAAAAGTCAGACATAGTCTACAAAGTTTACTGATAGACTAAAAAGACTACAAAAGTCGGACATAGACTACAAAGTTCAGACATGGACTACAAATTGTACTGATAGAATACAAAAGACTACAAAAGTCAGACATAGTCTACAAAGTTTACTGATAGACTAAAAAAAGACTACAAAAGTCGGACATAGACTACAAAATTTTACTGATACCCTTGATTACAGTTATAGACATCTGTTTATTGTCTGTCCATCCACTAAAAAGTTAGTAGCATCCACTTTTTCATTACAAAAGTTGGTAGTGTCCGCTTTTTAGGACTACAAAAGTTTGTAGTCCGCTTTTTTGACATTTGGGTTGGAGTGTCCTTGACTATGTAAAGGTTCATGGAGATATTGTTGTAGGGTTGAGCTGAGTTGACTTTGTATTTGAAAAATCACAATGAAATGCCCAGGGATTCATTTGAAAATCACAATGAAATACCCAGGGCTACATTTGAAAAATCACAATGAAATGTGCAGGCTTTCAATTGAACATCGCAATGAAATACCCATGGCTACATTTGAAAAATCACAATGAAATGCACAGGCTTTTAATTGACAAATCACAATGATATTGCTCATGTAGCTAATGAAAGTTGCAATGATATCACACAGGCACCTAATGAAAATTGCAATGATATCACCCAGGTAGCTGATGAAAATTGCAATGATATCGCCCAAGTGGCTAATGAAAGTCACAATGATATCACCCAGGTATCTAATGAAAATCACAATGATATGGGCCAGATAAATAATGAAAATCACAATGATATCACCCAGGTATCTAATGAAAATTGCCTAATGAAAAGGCATGGTAACTGGAATGATTCCTATCATAAAGACTGTGGACTTATACACAGGGAGCTATAGGCAGTTACCTTATTTATATGATAAAAGTGGTACCCACCAGTCCGTTTTCATCAGAAGACGGAGCCGTTGCAGCAACAGCCTTAGGAGCTGACTTCAAAGATGTGGTTGCGGTGGCACCTGATTTTCCCTTTTTTGTGTTATTTGCAGCCAAAGCCGCTAAAGTGTGTGCGGTAGTTAAGGTCTTATAATCTTTTCCATGAGGGAAACCTGAAGGGCAATTGCAAGATCTATGATCAACATAAAATTTCCTGCACTTTGTGCAGCTGTTGTGTTCATTCAAGAGGGTGTGTTCAGAGTCAAGTAGGATAGGGAGTGGAACATAGGTGGAGCTAGACATCAAG